AGCTTAAGCCAGCTGTTGGCATGAAGACCTGGCTTGGTCTGGCCTGGGAGGGCTCTGGAGAGAGCCTTTTTCCTGGGATGCGGAGAGGGGGTGAGCTGTTGGCCTAATGGGCCTGGTCAGGCTGTGTGGTTTAGGGCCTGGTTCCTGCATCCCTTGGCCGGTGCTCAGCCCTCATGTCCATCCTGTCTACAGGGTGTGGCTGTGCTGGGCATCGCTCTCATTGCCATGGGGGAGGAGATTGGTGCTGAGATGGCTCTGCGTACCTTCGGCCACCTGGTGAGTGATGGCACTGATGTGGGAAGGGGAGGAGGCTTCACTGCAGAGGGAGGGATGGACCTCACAGGGAGCTCTAGGTGTGGGCCAGAAGACAGGGAGTGCCACCCCTCAACCTGGCACTGCCTGCTTGTGTTCCCTGGGTGCCCAGTGCCTGCTCACATCCCCTCCCAGTACTGCAGAAGACTGCCAGTCTTGCAACGGATTCCCTGGCATGTGTGAGGGATTCAGGCAATACTCACCCTGGGCCCAGCTCACCCCCAGGCTCTAATGTCTCCATCCCTCCCCACATAGCTGCGGTATGGGGAGCCTACGCTGCGCCGCGCTGTGCCTCTGGCCCTGGCTCTGATCTCGGTCTCCAACCCACGCCTCAACATCCTTGATACCCTCAGCAAGTTCTCACATGATGCTGACCCTGAAGTCTCTTACAACTCCATCTTTGCCATGGGCATGGTGGGCAGTGGTAAGGCCCCTGGCACTATGCAGGAGGGAACTGGGGGGGGGTGGCTACTGTAGTCTCAGCAGCTGGGTGCTGGGGTAGCAGGGCTCTCTTCTAACCCTCCTTTGCCTATCTGTTCCTGATTAGCAGAGCGCCAGTGCCAGCTGGGTAACACTGGGCAGATGCTGCCATAGTCTCATCTCACTGCTGGGGGTGGGTCCTGCCCAGGGTGGAGTGGCAGCTGAGCCTGTCAGTGTGTGCATGTGGCTGTACTGCCCTGGGGCCCCTCGCTTCTGGATACATGGCCCAGAGCCCAGGTGGACCTCATTCTGGATCACTTATTGGAGAAGTTGTAGGGATGTGTCTGGCATCTGGTGCCCAGGCTGGGGCTGGCAACCTGTTCCTAGCTTCCTGCTCACTCCTGGTTCCTGCGCAGGTACCAACAATGCTCGGCTGGCAGCGATGCTGAGACAGCTGGCCCAGTACCATGCCAAGGACCCCAACAACCTCTTCATGGTGCGCCTGGCTCAGGTGAGTGCCTTGAGTTGGGTGTCTTGGGGCTCAGGGCCCTGCCCAGGGTGCTGGCCTGGGGCCGCTTATCTTAATGCACTTTCCTTTTGCTGAGCAGGGGCTGACTCACCTTGGGAAGGGGACCCTCACCCTGTGTCCATACCACAGTGACCGGCAGCTTATGAGCCAGGTGGCTGTGGCGGGGCTGTTGACCGTACTTGTATCCTTCCTGGACGTGCGCAACAGTGAGTATGGTGGTACTTGCCCACAGGGCACTTTTGGGCCTGAGGGAGGGTACCTAGCAGAGGGTTGTGCCTGGCTCAGCCCCTTGCTCTTTACCCTCGGTGACCTGGGTTGTGCTCCTCAGGTGGGTGGGTGGCTTTGGCTGTGTGCCCTGCAGGCTGTAATGCCCCTGTCTCCCTTCAGTCATCCTGGGCAAGTCACACTATGTCTTGTATGGGCTGGTGGCCGCCATGCAGCCGCGCATGCTGGTGACGTTTGATGAGGAGTTGCGGCCTCTGCCTGTGTCGGTCAGGGTGGGGCAGGTAAGAAGTCAGGGGGGGAGCTGCTGGGGTCTGAGACTGGAGAGGTGATGGCTTAAGGCTGGTGCCATGGGGCTGCCTACAGCCCTAGCAGGGCCTGGGAGACGAGCTTGGTTGTGGATATCTGTAGCTGCCTCCATGTCCTTGGTGCTGACCCTCACCCTCTTCCACAGGCTGTGGATGTCGTGGGGCAGGCAGGCAAGCCAAAGACCATCACAGGCTTCCAGACGCATACAACGCCAGTGCTGCTGGCGCATGGGGAACGGGCCGAGCTGGCCACAGAGGAGCACATGCCTGTGACGCCCATCCTGGAGGGCTTCGTCATCCTGCGCAAGAACCCCAACTATGACATCTGAGCCTGGGGCTGGGGTGGGGCAGGGGCTGAAGGGGGGTAGGGAGGGGCAGGGGCATGAGCTCAGCTCCTTGCTGCTGTTTGTCATTGAGGAGCTGGTAGG